CCCCCCCCTCCTCCTCCTCCTCCTCCTCCTCCTCTGACGGGCTGTCACTCACCATGGGCTTCATCTCCGCCCCCCCCGACACCGCCTCTTTCACGCGGCTCCGCCCACTTTTAGCAACTCGCTCCAACCGCCGGCTGCTCTCCACGAACTCCTAGAGGGGAAGAGAGCCGTCAGGAAAGCGTCTGCACGGTTATTAAATAACTGTAGGAGCGTTCAGCTGACTCATATCTGTGGTAAACGTTGGCAGTATAGAGTAGACTTCTCTCTGAAAATCTCTAATCCTGACATTTTTCTGAAAATGTATATGAAAGTGCAATAATCCAGTCTGTATGGTGTTGTATGTTTCTGGACTGTGCAGAGATGTTTATTATGGTTACTGACTTTGTGCCGTAAAGCGGACTCTAGTGCCTCGAAGACGAGTCAGAGACGCTACGCCAGCGAGACTCTGGAAGTCGACATGCGTCCGCACGCCTCATAATATTAGTGTTTACTTATCATATCCAGTTAAAAGGGTTTTAGTCGGTACTGGACCGCCAACAGATCTATAGAACTGACCTGAATAAAACCCTGAAGACGTACCCGGGGCTGCATGGTCTCCATTAGCCTCGACAATAACTATATATTATTGATTTGCACCACGTTTAGGTGTTCATCAGTAGTTCCACTTCCTGACACATTCCCACTTGACTCTAAGCAACGCAAACACAAACAACACCAACTAAAACTAAAAAATATTAAAATATATATTAAAAAATATTAAAAAGGTACAAATTAGACGTTTATGGAGTAAAGTAATAACCACTCAGAAAAACAAATGGTATCCATGGTAACCCCTTTGGGGGGGGTTTCCTCACCATCAGAGCCTTGTCCATGAAGAACTCACGGCCCGGCGTGCCGTCGTTGTACTTGGTGTCGATGGCGAAGCAGAGGAACAGGACGTCCACCACGATCTCGAACACCGACAGGAAGCAGTGCGCCACCAGGAAGGAGAAGAGACACACGATGACGAGCGGCAGCAGCCACTCGGCGTAACCCCGCTGAGCGTTCAGCAGCAGGACGCCGCAGAACGCCGTGCAGGTGACGATCAGCACCTGAGGGGGGTGGGGGGTCAGTTAGAAGGTAACACACAGAGCTGCAGGTGTCTCTGTTGGGCTATAAAGGAACTACAGCACGGTCACATGACTTCACGTCACCACCGCTAAGCTAAAGGAGGCTAATATTAGGCTATAAAGGAACTACAGCACGGTCACATGACTTCACGTCACCACCGCTAAGCTAAAGGAGGCTAATGTTGGGCTATAAAGGAACTACAGCGCGTCACATGACTTCACGTCACCACCGCTAAGCTAAAGGAG